AGAACCGCGGTGAGAAAGGTGAGCTTCATTGATTGCCTGAAACCGTAGCTCACCACGGATATACGCCTGAAAGTCCGCATGCACACAAAAAGATGGCTAACGGGACGAGCATGTAGGACAGCCTTTCGCAAACACATTACCAGAAAGATTGACAATCAGGAGAACCTCTTATTAAAAGATCATCCTCTATACCCTTAATTTATGCATGTGACCTTAATATTTATTCATTGTTCACATATTTACCTAGTTTTATTTCAGCACATTTCAATTAAAGAATTTTTATTGTTTCACTTGATAAAGGTCAAAAGGTCAAGCCGAAGCGCTTTTCCACTACATTCAGTCATTCACTCACACACTGAAGGTGGCACACTACCCTGTAGCCACAGCTGCTCTGCGGCTCACTGACAAACGCTGGGCTGCTCTACACAGGGGCCCTCACAATTGATGTCATGTAAACAGGTGCATTAAAATATATTTACCTAAAAATATATTGTGTCAAAAATCATATTTTCACTCTGCATAAAATGATACATATAGGCTAAAAGCTCTGCCATTTACGGAGGAAGCGAGGACAACCACCACTCATCGGTCAGTTGTTTACCATCCCAGCCTGAACACAGCTTTGGTATTTACAGATGTTGCTGCATTACTCATTTTTTCCCCCATATGTAATTTTACTAAACCTAATATTGAACATTTTACATGTTATTTAAATTTCACAAATGTTTTTTGTAGGGTTGTGTTTGTATTGGTGAAAAATAAAAGCAAGTGGCTTGAAATTGTTGCAATAACCTTTTTTTTTATGATAGCTTTGTTTTCGGTAAACTATCACATTGGTTGTGTGCTTTAAAGGTAATTTTTCATATAGAACTAAAATGGAATTACCAACTGCTTAGCACAACTGAGGGATTCAAATGTTTCAAAATGATCCAAGGGGATAGTTAAGCTGTTCAACTTGCAACCCTCGCTGCTACAACAAACATATGATTATATGCCGCTAAAACAAGCCGCATATAATCATATGTTTGGATGCAATCAAGAGAGGAATAACCTGCTGAGCCAGTATAATTTCATGTCATACGGTGCTTTAAAAGTAATCATTAATCCACTTTTGTTATGTTTTCTTACCACTTTGTTTTTCAAAACCGCACAATATTACATCTTGATGCCAAAAGACCTGATCCCGGTAATAAAAACATCTAAAAGGTACTGATGTTTTGAAGCTGGAACATTCTTTTCTGTGTGAATAGAGAGGATGAACATTCTTTTATAAAAAAAATTACAAATATGATGTGTGTTTGTGTTTTTATTTAAGGTGTGAGTGTGCCTGTGTGCACACATATCTGCTGCTTGACAGCATTTCAAACCCTTCTTGTTGTGCCAAGGTCAGCTGAATAGGAGACAGAAAAGACTCTTTCACCAAAAGTTACAGTGCAGGGAAATATAAAGGTAAACGTGGATCTTGTAATGTTTCAAAATGTTTTTCTCAGCTCTGCCTCTTTTCAAAAACTCTGACTTCTGAGACATCTTTCCTGGCAGAGCATGACGGTCAGCCACACAAAGCTTTGTGCGATGCACAGCTTAGCAACACATTAGCCAAAGGCTATTGGTAAAATACATCAATGCATCTCCAGGGAAATGAAGCCATTAACCAGTGAACAGCTTTTAGACACCTATCATGTGTGCATATGCTGTGTGTATATGTGTGACCGAGTGAATGGAGGAAATGAGGGAGGAAGTGCCTGCATAAGAGGAGAGTGATAAATGAAGCAAAATCTACGCCTTGGTCAAGCAAAAACGGAACATTCCAATGTTCTTTATTTGTTTAATCTAAACAAAATGCTTGTATGCATTTTATGGATTTTTTCCAACAATATTAGAAACTCAACTGTATACCGGTACCTTAAATCTTTTATAATCCTTTTCATTTGTGACCCCTTTTGACCTTTTTGTGATTTTATGCTTTGATTTAAGCATGGAAGTCTATGGAAGAAAAACAGTCTCATTGGAATCTGCCTTTTTTTGTACTCCACTAAATTTTGTTAACACTGTATTTTAAATAATGATTTTTTTATCTGGTGAAAATTCAGCTGCAAACAATTCCCCTGCAAAAAAATTCTGCTGCAAAAAATCTGACTGTAAACGTGTTGACCTTTTGGTGAACTCAACCTAAAGCAATCTACACTCGATGGAGTCCAGCAGCTTCTAGCCAATGAAATTTGCTCATTTGGTAAGAAAATAAAAAGTTTACCGGCGGCCACTTCTTCCGGTTCAAACCAAGAGCCTTCGCAGACAGGGGTGCCGCACTAGCTGTGATGGGCTCAGTTATTTCACCCAGTCCGATTAGATGAAAAACTCTAATGGCTGTCTATTGGTAGCTACCTGGCGGCTTCTAATCAATCTATTTCGCAAGAAAAACTCATTCACTCAACTGTTGTGTCACGTGACCAAATGAGCAAATTTTATCGGCTAGAAGCTGCTAGACTGCATACAGTGTAGATTGCGTTGGCTCGAGTTCACCAAAAGGTTAACACATTTGCAGTTGAATTTTTTGCAGCTGAATTTTTACCTGCTAAAATTTCAGCGTAAAGAATTCAATGTATGAAAAAAATTCAGTGTTTAAAATTTGGTGTTAAAAAAATTCAATGTTTAAAATTCAGTGTCCAAAAAAAGGCAATTTCCAATGAAACTGTTTTTCTTCTGTAATTGTCTAGCTGTAAGGAGAACTTAATCAGTTTTCTTGTCAACTTTTGCCAATTTCCTGTTCCTGATAAGGAAAACATCCTGTAATGCTTAGGGTTGAGTTTAAAGAAGGAGACGATTGTAAAAATCTCACAACTACACTGGTACTGGGAATTCCTCAGTGTTGTCCTTTAATTAACACACTCTTCACCAACCTTACAAAGCCCGGTTGAACGGCTGCTATATTGTATAACATGAAAAAGGAGCAGAGTCCAAATAACCCGAAACATTACTAAGAAAAATAGGGAATTAAGATGTCTGTCAGAGTCCCTGTATTGCTCTGCATGACATGTCTCCCACCTCTCTACAGAGCAGCAATGGCGCATAGCAATACCAAAGTATCTTAAAGAGGTACTACACAATTACGACTGCTACAATCCCCACAGCATGATGCCACCCATGCTGTGTTTATATCCTTATTGTGTGTTCGGGGTAAATTATAGTGCTATTTTTTTTTATCACACATAGGCACAAAACGTTTTATTTTGCTCTTGTTTGACCCTAGTATTTTCTTCCATGTTTGCTGTTTTCTTTCCCTACATTGTCTTTGGCAAACTGCAAGATCAGAGTAATTATGAATTTATTTAAACAATATTTTTTCCTCTTTCTGTTTTTCATCAATAACAGATTTATAGAATTCACATTTTTCCCCAGAAAAGCTGTTAATTTCTAAAGCATCCACATAGATTCCATGGATCTCTTTACTGCTATATCCTTGTACAGTCTGTAAGTTCAGTTATACATCCATAACTCGGCTGGATGACTGCCGCCCCAAGCTTTCTATTTTCTGATGATAAGAATCAGAAATAATTGTACTGCCAAGAGGAATTTTGTGTTAAGTGAGCAGGGGGACAGACGTCGCCATGATAATTTTACCTCCAAAGTACCTCCAATGCATAGCGTTAACAGGAGCCATGGCAGACGGGATGGAGGGACACCTCACATAAACGTTTTCCTCAGAACTCTGATGAGTTCTTGTCGACGTAGATGAGGACGACTCCTCCATGTTTGTCACACTCTTCAATGACGTTGTGATAATCATCAATGACCCCAGGTTCAGCGGATTTCGAAACAGCTTCTTCCCCACCATCATCAGACAGCTGAACTGTTGAAAAAACTCTAAATCATGTCACAGACTCTGCATGAAAATGGCAAAACCAAACCAAAACACTGCATAATTGCACCCTATATAGTTAATGCTCTGAACTTCCATATCAGTGTGTTTTTTGCACCTTATCTTTTCCTCGCAAACTGTTTACGTCTGATCAGAGCTGCACTTTGAGAAATGGAAATATTCTGAAAGCTGAACAAAACGAAATTTAAAAGTTGTCTAAGTCTAATCTTACACACATGAGGATTATGCTTTGGTGGTAAGGTGCTACTCATAGACAAAACATAGAGTTGACATAGGCCTAAATATGTTGAATTGCTTATTATTAACTAGAAAGTATAAATTGTATAGGAACAATAAAAAAAGAGAAAAATTGTAAAACTTTTTGCTGAGAGAGAAAAATGTTGCAGATTAAAAAATAAATAAATAAAAGAAGGAAAGAAAGACGTGTTTTTTTTCATGCAATCTCAGTGGGGGACCCTGGGTGTTGTTTATGTGAAGCTATTTTTGTGGACTAGTCTGTGCCCAGGGTGGGGAGATGTACACGGTGCTTGATTCTGCAAAATTTTCCACATAAAATGCCAAAAAGTTAATAACAAAATGGGAATTAGGTCAAAATTGTGTAAAAAACAGTTTTAAGGCGCTTGTATATTGAATAAATATGGCAGATATAATTATTTCTGCAGAATGGATTTGACTAGGTATTTCTGTGATTATCCTGACACATAAATAACTGTGTTCGTCGTTTTGGTAGACAGTTTTGAACATATAATCAAAATGTGCAAATTTATGGCACTTAAACCCTGGAATAAGGAAATAAAATCCACCGCGGTACGTTAGGGCTGATTGATTGGTCGTAGACCTAAAAGGGTGGGCTTGTGCTCCTTTTCCTGTCAGCTATTGGTTGGTTTTGATGTGGGCGTGAATTGGAGCTTCTTATTGGAGAGATGAAGGAGTCGTCAAAACATTCTCCCATCTGATTGGTTAAGGCAGCGAGCGGGAACCGCTTACCCAGGATTCGAATTTTCAACTAGGATTTACTTTTTCAGTGGTGGAGTTCAGCTCGGTAGCTGCAGGGTTTAGGTTGTTCAAAACTTATTCATTTTCAGCCATTTTTACATTATTGTAATCACTGAACAGAGGAAGAATGGCTGACCCGTTGAAGGTAATTTTAAAAGTCAAAGTTTCTTCACTTGAAATTTAATTGCTAGCTTACTGTTTTTAACCATGGTACATCACCAGCCGTTAAAGTAGCGAGCTAGCATCCTGTGTTTTACGTCTTGGGTTTTGCTTTTCCTCGCAAACCGAAAAGCTGCAAACGCGAAACATGCAACGGAGTGGTTAAATATGCATTTTGTTGTTCCAGAGTAGCTCGCATCTCATTGGAAAAAATAAATAAATAAAGCATACGTGTGTTTAGCTAACGGTGCTTATTTTATGTCTGTTGGTTTGATTTGTTTTTAATTTTTCCTGCTGGTAGAATTTATCCCTGGTGAAATATTATAAAGTTGTCTTTCTGCACAGTCTGCTAACACTTAGGATGTGTTTCAGTCATTTACATTAAATCAGTGCTAAAGTTTTGCACCTCGATATCACAAAGAATTAAACCATTTTTTCTGTTGATTTTCTTACTACCTTTTCCAAATATATACTATCTACAAAGTTACCAGTAAAATTGCTAGTTATAAGTCACAGGTTATTTGTTAAATGCGTTTCTAATTTAAGTAAATATAACATTTTTGAATGAATAAGAGAGTTTTATTTTGTTAAAGAACTTTACAGTACAGTATTTTATTATATTTTAACTCCTCACTATTCTGTTATTCTTAAACATTTTTTCTATAATGTTTTTGCTCCTGTAAACACCCTAATTTCACCATTATGGAAAAAATAAAGGGATTTTTTTCTAATCTAAAGTTAAATGCTTTTTATATATTGTGTCATATTTACTGTATATGATTTAAATCACATTTAGTTTAATATTCACATCACCTAAATCCAGGTATCCATTTTTATTATTTTTACAATAAGAGCACATGAAGAATCCTCAAAGGATTCTTTAAAAAGTTACCATTTTAAAATCTACTGTCTTCATAAACTTCATACAAGACAGATTATTATCAACATTAACACGAATGTTGTGCTTGAAATGAAAAAAATCAAATGTTAAACTGTCCTGATTGGATTTCCTAATTAATGTTGACATCTAAACAACAACAAATTATGGAAAATGAGAGGTAAGAACCATGTGCTTTGATACTTAAATTAGAAAAATTATTCAGATTTATTTATTTATTTTGGTGATTTAAAATCTTCCTTCATTGAGGAACCTAAAGTATGTTTTTTACTGTCCATGAAAACCTAAACTAGGGAGAAATATGTTTTGGCCAGAAAAAATCTACATCCTTTATAAAATATTAGAGCCAAGATGTTCCTTATCAATCACAATAGTTTAAGGCCAGTTTTTGTAGATGGGACTTTTGTTTTTGTTTGAGGATTTCAGTGAATATAGATTCTTCATGATATGTTCTCTTTTCATATTGGATAATTTAATTGCCCTGCAGGCTGTTTTTGAAAACAAACCGGTGGAAAAGACAAAGAAGGATCCAAAGCGGTTGTCGGTCGAGAGGATCTACCAGAAGAAGACGCAGCTGGAGCACATTCTGCTCAGACCAGACACCTACATCGGCTCTGTGGAGCCTGTCAGTCAAGTAAGAAATTACTTTGAATTTTTTGTTATTTTTTTTATGCTTGAGACTTTTGTTGTGACTTCGGAGCTGCGGGAGGTTGATTGGCAGCACCTAGCAGAGTGCGTAAACATCCCTGTAATCACTAATCTGCATCTTTCCCATCAGCAAATGTGGGTGTATGATGAAGATGTGGGACTGAACTGCCGTGATGTGACATTTGTGCCCGGCCTGTATAAGATCTTTGATGAGATCCTCGGTTAGTAATTAGCATCCACGGTTTAAAGAGGAGTAACGTCAATCATCCTGTTGTTTTATTATTGAATTTGTTTTTCCTCTTTTAAAGTAAATGCAGCTGACAACAAACAGAGGGATAAGAGCATGTCCTGCATCCGAGTTAACATCGACGTGTGAGTAATCTCCCCCTTTATCAGTCACTTCTGCTTATAGCCAACCAAAGAAGTAGCTGCTTAAATAAACATGTCTTCATAGGGAGAACAACACCATCAGCGTGTGGAATAATGGGAAAGGAATCCCTGTGGTGCAGCACAAGGTGGAGAAGGTCTACGTTCCTGCCCTCATTTTTGGACAGCTCCTCACTTCTAGTAACTATGACGATGATCAGAAGAAAGTCACCGGTGAGTTTGATTGTTTGGCGTCCAGCATATTTGGGTTAAAAAAATAAATAAAACAGAAAGTAAGACGAAATTTTCCTTTTGTTTGTCTTGTAGGTGGCCGTAATGGGTACGGTGCAAAACTTTGCAATATCTTCAGCACAAAGTTCACTGTGGAGACGGCCTGTAAAGAGTCAAAGAAGGTTTTCAAGCAGGTGGGAAGACGATTCGTTCTGCTTGTCGGGTTCTTTATGTGAAGATCTGCTGTTTATCCGGTTCCTTGTTTTCTTGCAGAGTTGGTACGAAAACATGGGGAGAGCAGGAGAGTCCAACATTAAACCTTTTGAAGGAGAGGAGTACACGTGCATCACATTCAAGCCGGATCTGTCCAAGTTTAAGATGAGCATCCTGGACAAAGATACGGTCGCTCTGATGACCCGCAGAGCGTACGATATTGCTGGATCCACAAAGGGAGTCAAGGTGTTCTTCAACGGCAAGAGGCTGCCAGTAAGTTCCTGGTTTCCAGTCATTTTAGAAAAAATTCTTCAGTTTTTGACCTTTTTTATAAAAAATAAAAAAACTAGACTACGGTTGGTCATGTCTCCAGCCACGTTAACTGATATATAGTACCCCTTTCCCACTGGCTGTAAAACCAGGGAACAATGGGCTTTCAGTGGCAGTGGGAACAGCTCACTGACACGTGTCTAACCGTATCAAGCGATTCGGCCAGCGACCCGCGTTTATATCACCTCGGCGCTGATTGGCGAGCTGTGGGAACACCAGAGTCGAGTCGGCCCGCTTAATTATGTGACACCGTTGAACGGAACGTACGGACATCAACACACCTCATCAGTTGCATCTGATCTAACAAGCAGAAACGACTGTTTACATTTGATGAATATAGTAAAAACACTAAACTATCAAATAATGAAATAAAATCAACATTTCTATTTGCTGCTTAGGTTGGCCAGAATGATAAATAAATCAGATTTATTTTTCTTTTTTGGCCAATGCTTAATCTTTGCTGATGTGAAACCAAAGTACGTTAATGTTTATTTAAATTAGTGTACCTGTTTGTGAACAGCTGAAACAATTTTCTGATGGAATCAGATGATTTATGTTCGAAATTAGTAAAATAGACTCCATTATATTGTATAAAGCGTATAGTATCCAAAACTCTGAATCTTGGAGATAATCTTATTTATAGATGATGATTATAGGCAAATTATTACTTTTAGATTGTTAGATTTCAAGGAAACTTGAAATAACTATTTTCCATTGATTTTTAGAATGCTGTCAATTTTCCAATGGAATCAGATAATTTGCTATTAAAAAAGAAATAAACAGCATCTTCTATTAACTATTTAATGTACATGGAATCTAATTATGTCGTTTTAAGGACAGAAATACTAATTTTATGGGCAGATCTTATTTACTCGTTCAAACTTTAGACTATCGCGCTTATTTTAAAAAATTTGGACTTATTTGTAGGTTGTTTTTTGCAGTAGAAGAGTAATGAATTTGATTGAACAATTTTATTTTCTGTGAGGTTTGAATACCGGTAGGTAAAAATTTTTTAGAAACCTTAGCATGGGAATATTAAGCTTCCAGAAATGATCCCTTTTAATATATCAAAATTAGAATTTCCTTTAAAACTTTTACGTGATTACATCTTCTTTTTTCAATGTTGCATCTTGTTCTTCATTTAAACAGGGTTTCCAGGGTTTTCTCCATTCATTAAAAGTTATTAAATTATTATTTTTGAAATTAAAGCCTTAATTGGCATTAAAATTCATTAAATGTGATTATTGGGCATTTAAAATGCTTTATTAAAAAAAAGAAGTTTATAAAAACAATTTCATCAGGAACATCACAATATATTTGTGTGGAACTGCTTTTGGTTGATTGTAAAGCCGTATGTTTGGGAAACAAAAGCTAAAGAATGGGAAAATGCTAATGCTAACAATGCTAATGCTAACAAAAGTGGCTGGAAGACGAGGAATTTGGCTGCAGCCTGTCGATGAGTACTTGTTGATGGCATTTAAATTATTTCTAAAAGCATTAAATTGGAGGTAATCGTTCCTGTATAAACCCCGCTAAAGGAACTGTTTTAAAGTAGGCCCCATACATTGACTGATTTGGTTGGTTAATGTTTGTATTTTTGAACAACATGAAGGAATCCCAAACCTCGTCCCTCTGCTCCAGATTACAGGTTTCCGCAGCTATGTGGACATGTTTGTGAAGGACAAGGTGGATGAGCTGGGTGGTCCGCTCACTGTGGTCCATGAGGTGGTCAATGACCGCTGGGAGGTCTGCCTCACCATGAGTGAGAAAGGTTTCCAGCAAGTCAGCTTTGTCAACAGCATAGCTACAACAAAGGTAAACCTCATCTTTATAGCTGCATTCATCGTGTAGGAGAGATTCTACATGGCGGTTATAAGATCCCTCCTCATTTTATTCTTTATATTCCAGCTTTTGTTTTATATAATCAGTCATTTTTTACTTTTCTTCATTAAGCATCTAAAAAGCTGCTTCAGGCTGAACTAGTGATCTGTCTTTTGGCAGCAAAGTACATGTTTGGCTGCTCTCCAGCTCGCTGTGTCACTCTGATTAAGATTGAACACTTATTCTGTTAATGAGATTTTATGATGTTTGTTTGGAATCTCAGGGAGGCAGACACGTCGACTATGTGGCAGACCAGGTGGTCGGAAAGCTCATTGAAGTGGTGAAGAAGAAGAACAAAGCCGGTGTAACGGTCAAACCTTTCCAGGTATATTTAGCAGGGATTATAAATGGGGATTTTACTGGTTTTCTACCCTTTTGGGAGCTAACTGCCTACACATCCTTTACTTTATAGGTGAAAAACCACATGTGGCTGTTTGTCAACTGCCTGATTGAGAACCCCACCTTTGACTCTCAGACTAAAGAGAACATGACCCTGCAGCAGAAGAGCTTCGGCTCCACTTGTCCTCTCAGTGACAAGTTCATTAAACAGGTTCTGATTGATTGGGATTGTTCAGGAATAGATTGGCTACGCTGTGACCAGTTCTCTCTAAAGGCTCCTTGTCTTCTGCTGCTTTTAGGCCACAGGTTGTGGGATTGTTGAAAGCATCATGAACTGGGTGAAGTTCAAAGCTCAGTCTCAGCTCAACAAGAAATGCTCAGCGGTGAAGCATACAAAAATCAAAGGAGTGCCAAAACTGGACGATGCCAACGATGCAGGTAACGTGTTCCTCTCGTCTTTTGCTTTTCCAAGAAAATAAAAAAATAAGCCGCCAGGCTGTTAAACACCTGTTCTGACAGGTGGGAAGAACTCCATCGGCTGCACGCTGATCCTCACTGAGGGAGATTCGGCCAAGACGCTGGCCGTGTCTGGGCTGGGAGTGGTCGGGAGGGACCGCTACGGTGTGTTCCCGCTCAGAGGAAAGATGCTCAACGTTCGGGAGGCCTCTCACAAACAGGTAACAAACGTATCAGTCCCTCTGTGGAGGTCGGCATTGGTTTGGTAACCAGCACTATGATGACTCATGTTCTTCGTCCTCAGATCATGGAAAACGCCGAAATCAACAATATAATCAAGATCCTCGGCCTCCAGTACAAGAAAAACTACAGCGACCCAGAATCCCTGAAGAGTCTGCGTTACGGCAAGATCATGATCATGACAGATCAGGTGATTTGACTTTGTGTTAATCTGTTTACTGGTTTCCTGTGGTCTGTAAAAACACTAAACTAAAAGAAAACACATGTTGGATTATTGTTACAAAATACATTGTAAACCAACTTTCATCAGGACTTTTGAGTATTTTTCAAGTTTCCACATTTTTTAATGATGTGATTGTGTTTGTTATTCTGACAGGATCAGGACGGATCCCACATTAAGGGCCTGCTGATCAACTTCATCCATCACAACTGGCCATCGCTGCTTCGCCACAATTTCCTGGAGGAGTTCATTACGCCCATCATCAAAGTAGATGCTTCAAATAACTCTTTTCCGGTTTCACTTATTTCAATCTGATTAACTGGCAGCTTCAGCACTGTTTTATGTCACTACAACCAGTAGTGTTGAATAAGGATTTCCAGCAGGCAAACCAATGTAGAGACAGCACTGCCACCTAGTGGCAAAACCCCTGTTACTGTCTTTTTTTATCAGACAATTTTTTACCATGAAAGAAATAAATGCAGTGAGACTGTCCTTTTCCTTCTTTAGGCCTCTAACAAGAAAACCCAGCTGTCCTTCTACAGCATCCCTGAGTTCAATGCGTGGAAGGAGACCCAGCCTAACCACAAATCCTGGAAAATCAAATACTACAAAGGTTTGTTCCAAACCCCTGTGTGGTAGTAGAACACAGACAAGTAAGCAGAGAAGTTACTGTCCACAGTACCGTTACTGTCCTTTTAGTCCTCAGCTCATTGCCGTAACTTCTCCTTTCTTCCCCCAGGTTTGGGAACTAGCACGTCACAGGAAGCCAAGGAGTACTTCTCTGATATGCACAGACACCGCATCCCGTTCAAATACTCCGGCCCTGAAGATGACGAAGCTATCACCCTCGTGAGATTCTCCTTATCCAGTTGGACCTAGGGCTGGGCGATATGAAAAAAATCTAATATCACAATATATTTGGGCTATATCACGATACTCTATATATATATATTAAGAAATGTTTAAATTACCTTTAAAAACAGTAGAGTGCACTGATATACTCGTTCAAACTTTTGGTTTCAAATTTAATTTCTTTTAATTTTGACCAGCTCAAAGCTGTTCACTAATAATTTTGCCACATGATGTCTTTGGGTGTCAGTATTAGACCTTTAACAAGATCCCAGCAACAAAACAGGAAACAAAGCAAAATGCAGTACTAAATAAAATACAAAATGAAAAAGGCTCTTTTGGTGCATTATAAAAAAAAAAAAAATTTAAAGAGAAATTTACCAAAAAAATAAATAAAAATTAGAGCCTTATCAGAGCATCTCCAAACTATTAGTACTTTAGATGCTCGGAATTTTAAAGAAGCACAAAAGGTTCTAAATTTGAAAACATTGCTAAGTTTAAAGAACGCCTGCAAAACCTCTGAAGAACACATTACAGGTATCAGAGCATCTAAAACATTTAAATAAAGTAATAAATAGCGAATGTGATTTCCCTCAATCTCTTTCTCTCCTATGGGATCCCTTTTTCAAATGACAGCATCGGCTCCACAGCTGATTTATTTGATGTTTTAATTGGTGTGCGGGGAGACGCTGACATGCAGGGTTTACATAATTCTTCATTTTGCAGCGGATTATTTTTTTAAGTGCTGGAAGACATTTGTACTGCTACCTTTTGCAGCAATGGTTTTTGGTGAAATCCAAACCGCTGCTGTATATTACTTAGCTGAAAGACCTGTTGCTGCCATAATTTGTTTGCCGGTTGCTGTAGTGTGCATGCGTGCTGTGTAGAAAATAATCCTGTTTGGGGGAGGGGTTTATGATGCATTCAAAGCATGTGGGGAAAAATAAAACTCAGTCAAATAGATGCAGACGTCTTGATGTTGTCATGCGAATTTGTACTTGCTGCGATAGTCATTTTAACAATCGTGCCTGGGAAAAATCGAGATACATCGAGTATATTAGATATATCGCCCACTCCTAGTTGGACCTCATATAAGACGTGTAGTATTTAGTGTGCTTTATATTGAATGTATTGTCTTTAACCATTAGGCCTTTAGCAAGAAGAAAGTGGACGAGAGGAAGGAGTGGCTTACAAACTTCATGATCAACAGGCGGCAGCGTAGGGAACACAACCTCCCAGAGGTGAGCTCCTAATAAAGGCTGATCGCGCCGTGTTGCTGCCGTTCTCAGTCACAGCATGTTTACATTGTTTCCAGGATTACCTGTACGGTCAAGCAACCAAGTCCTTGTCCTACAACGACTTTGTCAACAAGGAACTCGTGCTTTTCTCCAACTCTGACAATGAGCGGTCCATTCCTTGCTTAGTGGACGGTCAGTAGAAATGCTTTCAGACTCCAGAGTGTGGCGCTGTGCCACCATCAGTGGAAACCCTGTGTCTACAGTCTGGTCTGACATGTTGGTGTGCCGCTTGTTCCAGGTTTGAAGCCAGGACAGAGGAAGGTGCTGTACTGCTGCTTTAAGAGGAACGATAAGCGGGAGGTGAAGGTCGCCCAGCTGGCTGGATCAGTGGCTGAGATGTCTGCGTACCACCATGGCGAGGTGGGATGAGCTCCAGCAGTTAAAGTGTTTCAGAATTTTATTTTTCCTTCTTGTGTTAAAATCTGTTGAATTGAATTAAAGGTTCATTAAATCAAGACTCTTCTTATTTTTCAGGTGTCTCTGATGATGACCATCGTCGGTTTAGCTCAGAACTTTGTGGGAAGCAACAACATGAACCTGCTGCAGCCTCTGGGGCAGTTTGGAACCAGACTGCACGGTGGAAAGGACTCAGCCAGTCCTCGATACATCTTCACCATGCTCAGGTCACTACCAGCTTTTATCAGCAAGGCCTCCCAGCCATGATTTCCAACCAGTCGCTAACTTCTGGACAATTTTTTTTATGTTTTTAGCCCTTTGGCGCGCCTCGTTTTCCCACCAGTGGACGACAACCTGCTCAAGTACAACTATGACGACAATCAGCGCGTAGAGCCTGAGTGGTACATTCCCATCATCCCCACCGTGCTGGTGAACGGCTCTGAAGGTATCGGGACCGGCTGGGCCAGCAAGATCCCAAACTATGACATCCGTGAGATCATCAGCAACCTCCACAGGATGCTCAACGGCCAGGAGCCTCTGCCCATGGTGAGGACCATAGAAATGAATATAAGAGTAGAACCCGCATTGACTGTAGCGGTGCAGAAATTACGGGCGCCATCGTGGGGAGGTCGACTTGCTCCACAAACCTGCTGGTTTAAGCAGAACAGAAGGAGGATGCCTTAACACTGCGGTATATTTTAGTTTGAATCGAAGTATTGTTGACATCAGGGCTCGAGGTATTGCTTTGAGAAGGAATCAGAGCTTTTTAAGACATTACTGAAGAAATGGCATATTCACACTACATATATTGATATATAGAGAGAATGGAATAGTCCGGCAGTGAGTAAATAGTGGTGCACAGCAGCAAAATATTATAGCAAAAGTGGTCACACAAATCTGGACCTTAAAAAGTATAAAAATAACAGAATAAGTGACAGTTGAAAAAAACAGCATAAAGAAATTAAATACTGTACTGAAAAGTGTTTTTACAAAAATATTGTGCATTTAAAGCTCATCCGTATTCGGCTGTGGACATTTTACAGTATATTTATGTAAATATAGTCAGATATACATATCGAGAGAGGTGTATGTGTGTGTATATATATATATATATATATATATATATATATAAGTGGCTGTGCTTTGCAACATACATCTGATCAGAATATTTTATTACTGTTAACCCTACTAAGAATATTTAAATGCACTGAAGCATTTGTTTTTTTTTTTTTTTAGCAAAAAAAGAAAAAACAAAAGATGAAATTTAGTTAAATATTCAGCGAGTTAAATAGATTCTGTGCCTGCTCCACACATTACACTGAGTGGTGCTGTCGACCGCCCCAAGATGGCGCCACCAAGTCATGTTGGGGCTCATAGGCGAAAGCGTTCAATGCGGGTCTACTTGTATATTAAATCTATGGGGAGGACAGCTGGGTGTCAGAAATGTCCTACCCCAAGGAGAAACGGGTGATCATTTTTTTTTCTTCCATAGCTTCCAAACTACAAGAACTTCAGAGGCACGATTGAGCAGGTGATGGATAATCAGTACATGAACAGTGGAGAGGTGTCCATCCTCGACTCCACCACCATCGAGATCTCAGAGTTGCCGGTTAAAAGCTGGACTCAGGTGAGTCTTTCTTCCAAGGGAATGTGTCAAACATGCAGCAGGTTGCTTGACTTTACAAATATGTGATATTTAAAATTTCTAAAACCTGATAAATCTAAAAAATAAAAACACTTTATTTTTCTTTTTAACATGATGATAAATTTCTTTTCATGATTATTATTTAGATGTAAATTAGGATTTATGGTTTAAAAGCTCCAAAAGTGTGTTGTTAAATTAAAAAACAGATGGCTTACCATAAACAGATTCTAAATCCTGAGAACATGGAGTTCAGCTTTATTCTTTGTGTCACGTTAGGCGTACAAGGAGAATGTTCTGGAGCCGATGCTGAACGGGACAGAAAAAGCTCCTCCTCTGATCACTGACTACAAGGATTATCACACCGATACCACGGTCCGCTTCGTGGTCAAGATGACCGAGGAGAAGCTGAGGGAGGCTGAGGCCGCCGGCCTCCATAAAGTCTTCAAGCTGCAGAGCTCCCTCACCTGCAACTCCATGGTAACGGCTGCAGCTCTGGCTCACATGCACAGCAACCGTTATGTGTTACTATCGGGTCATTAAAGGTTTGTTTTCTCCATTTTTAGGTTCTGTTTGACCACGTCGGCAGCTTGAAGAAGTACGAGTCTGTCCAGGATATCCTGAAGGACTTTTTTGAGTTGAGGATGAAGTACTACGTTCTGAGGAAGGACTGGCTGGTCGGCATGCTGGGAGCAGAAAGCTCCAAACTCTCCAACCAGGCCCGCTTCATCTTGGAGAAGATTCAGGGAACCTTGGTCATCGGTACAGGGCTGCTTTTCATTTAAAACATTTGCAAAAATGGCAAAATTGATATGGACATGCAGGAATATATTTGATACTTCCTTTAATGCTGTATGGATAAAAATTATCATAAAAAACTACTTCAATCTGAACATGGAAACAGAAACACAGAATTACAGAAATAACCCAGATTTAACATTTTCAGGTTGTCTGAGGTTTTTATTATATTAATGCTTAAACGATAAAGAATCTGAATGTAGCAGCAAAATCAGCACATTTGCTACCAGTGTGATGCCAAATTAGACTGTTACCAGATACAACGTCTTCCATGTTCATTTTAAGGCTATCAATATTCGCATCATGTCGCTGCTGTTTGACAGAAAAGATTCATCTGTGAAAAACATAACTTTTAGGAAATAAAAGACAAACCCAGCCTTTAGTGGGATTTACATTCTAAATGTAGCAGTGAGAGAGCAGAGAGTTGCCAAGTGGATCCGTTCGAGAAAAGCAAATGACTAAAAACATGCAGGATATTTTTCCTATTTGTTTCTCATATTCAGTCAAATATTCAATTCAGTTTATTTCCATAGCGCCATTTCACAACACGTCATCTCAATCATTTTACAGTTCATCAGATCATCCAGTCAAACTGATTCAACGTTTACTAAGGAAAACCAGCTGATTGCATCGACTCATTGACTTGAATGCAATCTAATGAACATTTTACTTGTATTTATGATCAGTAAAAATATTCATTTTAACTAGCATACTAAGTTGATTAACTTTGCTCTAAACCAAGAGTTCTCAAAGTAGGGACTGCAAATTTTCATTGTGGTGTGATCACCGAGGTTAATGGAGGATCAAAATCTATCAGGAAATGCACAGATGGAACTATCCCTCAAAATAAGAACCTTTATTTATATTAATAAATGCGACATGAAAAAAATACATTTAAAATGATTGATTTCATTTAAAATATATATGCATGTTAAAATGCACAGAAAGCCTTCTCTGTATATTCATAGAGTGAAGGAACATATGGGGGAACCAGTCTGGTGTCTTTATGCAACGCAGGCTAAAATGTTCTGGAACTTGCTCCATATGGAATCAATTTGGTTCCATCATTGTTGTTCGCAAAGAACACGGTTTTCTAAATGGAAATTTGAACAAGTGAAAAAAAATTGTCCCCAAACTCTTGACCAATGGAAATGCTTCTTCACTCCTATGTCTCTGTCTGTCCCGCCCCCAGAAGTGGAGATATTGTGATCTTTGAACAGAATAATGTCAGTACTGCTTAAAGGGAAACACCACTTTTTTTTTCATTTGGCCCTTGATTTTACGTTATTACATCATGTTTTACTCACTCATATGGGTCTTGTGTCATTTGGAGCTGTTCTGAAGATATTCCGAAGATATTCCGATGTCTGTGGGACAGTGATTCGCCTACATGTTATGAATATGGCGTACCATAAATGATAAACTATGAACAGTTTAGTTTGTGCCTTCAACTCGTTGTCCATAGGAAGACGTTACTTGGATATAACCTAACGGAATATCTTCAGAACGGCTCCAAATGACACAAAACTCATATGGGTGAGTAAGAACATGATGTAATAACGTAAAATCAAGGGCCCAATGTAGGAAAAAAGAAAAAAAAACAGTGTTCCCCTTTAACATAGAAGAAGAGACTTAAAATATAACATCTGCAAAAACAGCAACGTCACACTTAAAATCTTTTCTGATTAAGAAGTTTTTTAAAGTTTAATTTTTGTTGATTTTACTCTGTACATTCTAAAGAATGAAAAACGTATATCTTCTAGAAAACAAACCTAAAAAGGAGCTGATCCGCATGCTTCAGCAGATGGGCTACGACTCGGACCCTGTCAAAGCTTGGAAACAGGCTCAAGAAAAGGTGCGGCTCTTTTAAAAAAAAGTTTTATTAAAGATTTTACTGAACCAATGCAACAGCCAGCCAATGAACCATCATATGTGTTGGGTTGTTTTTCTAGAATGAAGAGGAGCTGGGAGATGAAGAGGAAGAGGGAGAAGAAAAAGAGGACAACAGTGGACCCGACTACAACTACCTGCTGAGCATGCCCATGTGGTTCCTGACCAAAGAGAAGAAGGAGGAGCTGTGCAAGCAGAGGGATGCTAAGGTGGTTAAGGATTCAACCTCTGCGCCATAGAATCTGATGACTGTATTGGTCGGTTGAGTGACGTTTTGTTTCTCTCCAACCCAGATGACTGAGCTGAACACTCTGAAGAAAAAGACCCCATCAGACCTTTGGAAGGAGGACCTGGCTGCCTTCTCTGAGGAACTGGAGGTACCGTCTCTTTATGATCAATGTTTCACATCAAAGTTATTAATAAACCCTGCTGTCATCTTGTCAAGCTCTTGGTGTTTTAGTGTTAAATCCGGTTCCGTTTATGTGCTTAGCGTTTGGAGGCAAGCGAAAAGGAGAACGCAGCGGCCCCCGTGAAGAAAACTGGAAAGGGCAAGGCTCTGAAGGTGAAGCAGGAGACGCTGCCCACACCGCAGGGCCGCCGGGTCGTTCCCCGCGTCACCAGCACCATGAAAGCTGAAGCCACCAGGAAGGCTGATCTGAAGAAAGGAGAGGGCAAGAGAGGCAGGAAGGTCAAGGTAAAACACTTTCATCTGCTACCAAAAAACACTGGACTCCACTGAGTTACTCCAGCCGCTGAACAGATTTGCTCTTCTTTGTTACAGAATGAAGATGTGGTGATGAAGATGGAGTTTGAGGATGCAGAGAACATTGAACCAATTGAGGAAATGGGTTTGGTTTCACGGCTGGCTAAGAAAACCAAACCAGAGCCCAAAGAGAAAGGTGAGGATGTTTCATTAAATCTCCTCTGGTGTAGCAGCAGTGGGAGGGAAACGCTCCTTTCAGACACCTTAAGCCCACCATACACTGTGCCATTTTCTAGTCATGCGAGAATCTTTCGATCGGGCTGACTTTCAGCCTGATCGTGAGTCGTGTAGTGTACAATGGGTTACGAGGGGCAATCGTACTCAATCTCCCTGCGGAGCTGAGTAAATTGTGAGCTGTGAGCTCACACTGTACGACTAAACCCTCCGCTTTCACGTACAGTGAGCAGCAGCTGCTTGTAACGATTGAAAAACATCGCAAAGTGTATGCCCGGCTTTAGCAGCACGATCTCAGCTGATCAACCTGTATGACCTGAGAGGACAAAATGGGATGAGAAAAGTCTTTTAAAAAGATGATTTAATGGTAAATAACCTGGTTTAAGAGATTTAAATTACCTGCAATGATCCAGAAACCTGTTGATTGTTCAGCTAACGACCCCCTCTGTGAAGAAGCTGTTGGTTGATTTGCATATAAATCAGGAAGTTTGGGTCCAACTGATTCTCAGGTGTTGGATTCTCTAGTTTAGATGAGCATGTTAATGGAGGGAGTTTCATTCTAGCTATGTTGCAAAAAAAAGGCATTTTATGAAAAGAGAATAACCCATAAATGGAACTTCAAAAAAGGCTTTAAGAGTAACCTCACTGTTTTCTATTATTTTTATTTTATTTTTTTCCAAGCTTGAAAACGGAAGAATAAAAAAAGATTTTTACATCTATGAAAAAATAAATACAAAAAACAATTGGAAGAGAAATGAAAAGAAGACAAAAAAGAATCTGAAAAAAGATTTATTCTCAAATCCTTTTTTTATGTAAACATTTTTCTGTTTAATTTCTGTATTTTAGGTTTACAAAATGTTTCCTTTGTTCACAATAAGTGAACAAAATTCACTCAGTTGAATTTCACTGGTGGGAACAGAGACTCGTCTAAACGGAGGGGAAGGTTTCACTGGATTCTAAGGTTTTTGCATAACAACTAAGGAGGAGAATTGGAGGCTTACAGCCCGTCTGCCAGACAGAACGGCGCAGTAATTAAACTGGTATCTCCACACTTCCTGTTTGTTCTTAATTAGGACCACAGATCAGCATCAGGGCAGCGGAAATATCTGTTAAATCTGCTGAGTCAGAATCATGACAAAGGATCTAAAGCTGGATAGAAAAAGGCTCGCTGTGAATTTGTCTAAATGGGGCGTTCAGGAAGAAAACTAAATGTTTTGGCTTTGGAATCCTAAACCCACTGAGGAGTTGCGCAACGTCTCCCTGCATGTCTCTGAGTTCAGCCTAAGATGTAAACATTTACTTATTCTATTGACCGGGTATTAAAGAACCACATTTCATTAAACTGTAAAATAAAAATTCCCCAGCCATTTCAAAGTCTGGAAAACAGACCACTCTGCAGTTCAAGCCTGCTGCCAAGAAGCAGAAGAAGAACCCGTGGTCAGATGAGGACTCTGAAGGCTTTTCAGGGAGCGATGTGGAGGAAGAGGAAGTGAGCGCCCCCCGGGAGCGGGTCGTTCGCAAAACCAAAGGTACCGATGTTTTAAGGCTTCAAGCAGGTTTCCTTGGACTGACTTCAGGCGGTTCTGAGTTCCCACTGTCACATGTTCTGCCTTTTTATCTGAAATACATCTGCAAATGAGTTCCTCTCTAAACCGACCCCTCTGTTATGTAACCCCTAAGCTGCGGTGAAGTACAGCCTGTCAGACAGTGAAGATGAGTTTGATGACTTTGAAAAAAAGAGCTCTGGAAAGAGGAAAGCCGTCGTCAGCGATGATGATGCAAGCTTTGCCCCAGAGCCGAGTGTTGCTTCAGAGAGCGATGTCAACTCACCACCCCCACCTCCCAAAGCTCCAGAACCCACGTATGTATGAGGAAACCGTTAGAACCACTAACTAAAGAAAGAGCTTTCCCACTCATCATCTTATCCCTGCATCCCTTTAGGAAGAAGGTGTTAAAAAAAACAACAGTTAAAAAAACTGAAACCAAGTCATCTAGTGAGTATTTTCCAGATTTTTCCTTCCTTTTTTTTACTGAATATGTTGATATTAATGATCTTTTTTCTTTACAGCTTCGTCCGACGATCCGGCGCCTGCATCCGCCCGTCCCGCTCAAAGTAAACCCAAAGCGGCGGCCCCCAAAAAAGCTGCTCCAGCCAAGAAAGCAGCCGCTGCCAACAAGAAGGCAGCAGGTATCCCATCGCTAATGAAACACTATGCAGGGAATGTTATCAGTTATCAGTATTGTTGCAAACAAAGAACACTTTTTTAAAGGAAATTTTAACATTTTAAAGAAAAAAGGGTTTCAGAGTAACTTTGCTTTTTTCTCAGATTTAAATCATCATCATCAGAGATTTCAGAGTTTATATACGGTTTATATCATTCCCAACCGCTAACCCCAAAGAATTTTTCTGATAAACTCAGTAAATCATCTAAATCAGTTTGGTTATACAGCAACAACAACAACAAAAAAAAAAGCTCATGGTGCCTTTTACAAGTTATTTATAAGAACAACCAAAATACAAAGAATTATTTCAGACTTTTATTTTCAAGCTTTTTAGCTTTGCGATGCAATAAAAGCCACGTTTTTGTAGAAAAGTTTACTTAAATGTATTTAATTCCGAATAGGCCTAATTGAATTTAATGTTAGGAAAAAGAAAGAAATAAATAATTAATCATAAGTTTTATACCATAATTAATTGATCTCTGAAGCAGAAATAAAAACTCCTAGATGGTTTTGTTTTTATATTTAGCTGAAGTTTAAACGTTGAGTGACTAAAAAAGGTAAAAAAACAATAGATGTTTTAACTACATTTCAAATGCTGATTCGCAAAAAGGGTTAGCAGCTTTAAGCAGGGCTAACACTGTACTATATTTGTTTGGTTTTTCGGGCCGATTCTCCAGAATTTTTCTCTCACGACTTCCAGCCTGATCGCAAGGTCGGGGGAAAAAATCAAACGTGCTTGAAATTCAGTCGGCCATTGTAATGTGGTCATGGGAAAAACGCTCAGTGCGCAAACAAGGATTCTTCTTCTTCCTCTCAGATGAAAGCAGAAGCATGGCAGGGGTGCAATGAGTGAAATGGAGTTTCTTTTGTAAAATTGACAACCAAAGTAGTCATGTTTACTCAGCCATGTCTTTGTCCAAATACATCATCGCCTAGGGCTTTCAGCACAAATTGCCAAGGCAGCACATTTCACTCTATTGAGCTTCATATTCCTTCCTGATAGATGAGTCCGAGTAGCTCCATCTCACTGCTGAGCTGAGTCAGACGTGTTTTTTTTTTTTTAGACATACACTGTTGAAAAAAACGCAACAGAGCGTCGGGCCGCACAGTGTAAGAACATACTGTCTGCTGTGAAACCCTGCGGTTTCGTTGTACACTGAGCTGTAGCTGCGTGCATTGAAAAAATCGTACAGTAAAATGTAACCAAGTTATTTTAACACTTTTTTTTTTTTCTAAATTTGCACTTTGATTTCGACCATGCTAATTTGACAATGGTTCCTATTGTAGCTGCTGGGAATCTGGCAACTCGCCTTTCCATGAAATTGGTCAATTCGACGCCCTAAGATGGACATAATTCATATTTATTGTGTGCACAAAAGATGTTAATATTAAAGTCAACACATACGATTTATAATTTACTGTTATTTTTGGTGTTTCTAATTATTTTCATACCTAAATGTAGCATAACTCCAGGTGCAATGTTGAAATTAATAATCTAAATGAAGAAAGATATTTTACAACTGTGTATAAATTCTGGGATTAGGGTGATAAATGTGTTTACTTACAACCAAACTAATTGTAAAGTAGAGAGAAAATGCTTTGACATAAACATTACAGTTCAACCTTTGTCTTTCATCCCCCTGCACCTAAAATATGCAGTTCTATAATTTACCATAGGACTGTTGAAGCGACTTCATCATTGCTTTGATTTATTGAACCTCTAATGAACTGTTTCTACTTGGTGTTTTTCTTTTTTCCAGATGAGAGGCAGCCTTCAATCCTGGATGCTCTCTCCAAGTCTAAACCTTCATCCAAGCCCGTGGCCAAAAAGGTCCCCAAGTTGGACTCCAGTGATTCAGAAGAGGAGAGGAACGTTCCAGCAAAAAAGACCGTTTCAAAACGCAAACAGGAGCTCAGCGACGAGTCGGACAGCAGCTCAGACGACCTCATGTCACGGCTTAAGGCTAAATCATACGGTGCTGGAAAGGTCAGTCTGTCCTAAACTCTCTACCCACAGGCTTTGATTTTGACTTTGAACGTTATTTTTTATTTTTGCTGAAATTCACAAACCAAACATTTATTTTGTAGAAAACCAAGAGGTGTATCGAAGATGATAGCTTCCAGTTGTCAGACCAAGAGGAAGCAGCTACCGTTGCCGTGGCACCACGGGATAAACCCTCACGTGCTCGGAAACCCGTGACCTACAACCTTGACTCTGACTCTGATGAAGACTTTTAAACCGGGGTTTAGGATTTTGTAGTAAAAAAGATCCAGAAGTTTTAGTAAACCAGCATTTTTCCCCGTTCAATACAGCTTGCTTTTATTACCAGAATTTGCTTCTGCACAAAGCTTGATTAAAATGTAAAAAAAAATAACTTTAAACTTTTAAAAGGTTCTCTTATTGAAAGTTGTCCTTAACACGTTTTATATCAAAACTTGTGGTGTGTTTATGAACCAATGTGCTCTAGTATGTTGTTTTTGTCCTGTACATATTTCAGTGGTTGTGTTGAAAAATAAAGTTTCTTCTGAGTTAAACTCCTATGAGCAGTTTTCCTTTGTTCCGTTAATCTGGTTCCCAAAAGTCAGGCTTGTATGAAGGAAAGCATTTATAGAAACCTGTTTGAATGGAAAAGAGCCTCTGGGAATTATGACTATTTTCTAACCTAATAAAAAATTGTGGTAAAAAGTGTGCAGGAAGTGGCGGCCTAGTGGTTTGGGCATAGAGCTTTGAATTCTGAGTTCGAGCTCCACTAATAGACTGCCGTTCTGGCTCTCTGAGCAAAGACCCTTAACCTCCGATGGCGCCCCATGATGGCAGCCCACCGCTCCCCAAGGGGATGGGTTAAATGCAGAGTTACATTTCTCTAGTGTGAGATCAATAAAGTCAATTACTATTATTAAATAGAAGGATCACAATCCAGTAAAGGAAAAAAACTGATTTTGAGTTGGACATTTTACCTGACAAAATGTCCAGATTAACTAAACGGCACAAAAGTCCAAAAAGAGGTCAGTTTCCTGAATAGATCTCTCTACTTCAAATCTAGTCTCAAAACCTAAAAATATTTTTTTGAATAAATAGAAATTTTGAATTCATATCTTTAGTTCTCATGAATTCAAATCTGCTTAATTTTTCTGCTAAATCCAGTTTCATTACTATAACGGATTTTTGCTTACAGTTTAAACAATAGATGTCAACTCCTGACACTTAAAGGCTCTAATTGCTGTGTAGATGATTAAATTCACATTAAACCAATGGCGCACATTTATATCCAATTATTTATTTAAAATAAAACAACGCAGGTAAGTTGGGGCTAAAATGCCAGTTGGTACTAAATTGACACGTCATGGACTTTGCAGCAATCCTTCATCTTGATTAAACGTGGCAACAGGTCAGACTTGCTGTTCAGTTCAGTGCAAGTTTGTAATGTGAGCACCTGAGACAGACGGAGAAGAAATAGTTATTTGCACCAAATATTTTCATACCTACTCAGGCAAAAAAAATTTCATTAAATACAGTGCCCTGTGAAAGTATTCACCCCCCTTCAACTTTTCAATGTTTTGGCACATTTCAGGCTTCTTTATCAGTTTTGCTCATGAAGAGAGGGAAATATTTGCCTATTCTTCCTGCAAAACCAGCTCAGGTTCGTTGAGGTTGGATGGAGAGCATTTGTGAACAGCAGTTTTCAGATTCGAGATTAGATTCAGGTCTAGACTTTGACTTGGCCATTCTAAAACCTGAATATGTTTATTTGTAGATTGTTATGGATCATCATCTTGTCGGAAAATGAATCTCCGTCCCAGTCTCGGGTCTTTTTTGAACCCCAGAATGGTCCTGTATTTGGCTCCATCCAGCTTATAGTTAAGAGGTGCTCAGGCTTAGGCTGCTGGAGGACATAGGGGCCATATTTTTCATTCTATTTAATTCTATCTCTATTATCCCATCCTGTAGTATTTATTAGTTCAACCTCATACTTTATGTCCTCTCTGCTTTTTCTCATCATAGTAATTTCATCTGACCTAAAGTAGAAGTGGAATTCTACTGAGGGAATTCTCCCTTAAATATTTGGTTGGAACTGGATCTAACATATGTTAAAATGAGAAGGATTTGTCCCCTTGGAAGGAAGGCTGTAGCGCCCCGGGGGCCTTCTCACCGGTTCTTTTCCTGGGAGCAAGTTATTTACTACTCTTAACTCAAACTGGGTAAAACCATATAAAAAGGACTAAAAACAGGAGTAAAAAATGACAGTTTATTCCAGATCAGGTCGTTACAGGACAGAGAAAAATGCTTAGAGCTATGCACAGCTGTGGGCTCAAAAATCACGTCCGCGAGCGTCCGGCAAAGTTTTAAGCCCCGAACAACATCATTACCTGCTTCTTATAGCTCATGGGTCTATGTGTTGCATCATGTTGATGTTTAGCTGTCCGTATCAGAAACTGACACGCCATCCATGCCTTGAACTTCATGCAGCTTGCTTCTCTGCTTCAGGGTTACAGATAGCTATCCTCTATCAGACCGGCTTCAAGATATGCCCATATCCTGTGTATTCTTAAAGACACGAAGGCTGTCCTGATTAGATGACCTCCTTACACACCGTGACATCCACAATGTGAAGGAAGGCCTTCTGCTCTGTCTAATCTGACTAACAAAATAACAATGCACATGATGTATAAAGCATAAACCTAACACATACATTGCTCACTTTGACATATTAATTTAATGAAAACAGTCCAAACCTGGTTCAGATTCTTTTGTTACTTCACATGCTGCTTCACCTTAAAAGACATAAACCAATCATGTTTAGAGGGCTGCCGGTGACCCAGTTTTTAATAGATTCATTCTTAATTATAAAGAATCTCATATAATCTTTACTGCTAAGAGCAGGGGGAATGGACGATTCAAGAGAGCTACAATTCAGTTTATTCGAAATAATTCATATTTAACATCCTGTTTTCAATTTCATTGAACACAACACCAAAAAATATAAACTACAGAAATATAAAACCTACATTATTCATTAGTGAGGTTCTGATTGCCAGCTGTTACTATAATTATTTTTATGCCTTGTTATCCCCTTGTGATCAGGGAAACTTGTGCTTCAACATGAAACAAACTCTTCCTGCCATTAAGGAAGCGCTTTGAAACGCTCATCAAGAGTTGCCTTTCTTGGGTAAACATCATCCCTTGACTGGGACTCTTGATGCAGATTAGGGCGTAGAAGGAATTTCCTTCGAACTGTTACCACCCGCTCAATTAAGGATCAGGACAAATCTCATGCTCAAACCATTTGGAGAGACCAGCAGAGGACTAGACCGAGGGGTTTCGCTCTGTCTTGCTTTGCCTTTGGGTTCATTCCGGAAAGTTTTCAGGCAATCTGTCATGTTGAAACAAGTAGAGGAAAAAAATCAACAGGACGGACCTGTTTTTCTCATTCAGTGACTTGTAGGCGGCACTATATAAGATACCATCACTGGTAACTGCACCTTTGACAACAAGACAGTTGGATGTAAAGCAGTAGGTACATCACTTGTCTAAAAATATTCAGATCTGAGGAAGAATTTCATGGATATGTCACTTTTTTAGATCAACAGGAACTGTGAGTACTTATCAATGTCCTTATGGCTGCTAAATTAGTTACAAATTATCTTTTAGCACAATAGCAGTGGGATTTTGGCATTTCTGTAACAAATGTAAAACATTTATTTCACCTTAGAGCTAATTAAAACCATAAATTTGAATAAAGGCTAGCTTTAGTGCCTAACCCCTGTGGGATCTCCTGTTTTCTAATTTATGTTTTTGTTTTGGTTTCAGGTCAATTAACGATGACACAATGATGCCTGAAGTTACCTTTGAACCACAGTCTCGCTTTGAGTCTCATAGGGTATATTAATCTCCAATTAGGTTTTTTGTTAAACCAGAAACACTTTTGCTCTCCAAGGAACAGTGTTTTTTTCTTTACTAAGAGGCACCTGGCAGCTCTGTAACCATGGGTGAATGGGGTTTCCTCAGTGGCCTGATAGACACTCTCCAGGCCCACTCACCAATGCTTGGACGTTTCTGGCTCTTCCTCATGTTAGTGTTTCGGATAGTGATACTGGGAACTATTGCAAGCGACATGTTTGAAGATGAACAAGAAGAGTTTTCCTGCAACACTCTGCAGCCGGGCTGCAAGCAGGTGTGTTATGATATGGCTTTCCCCATCTCCCAGTACAGATTCTGGGTGTTTCACATCGTCCTGATAGCTACGCCATCCATGGTTTTCCTCATGTATGCCAGTCATCATCATAACAAAAAGGCCTCACGCCCTAAGACGAAAAAAAACAAAATTCAGAACATCATAGATGAGCGCCGCTTGAAGAGGCTGTACATCATAAACGTGGTCTTTCGACTCGCTGCTGAGGTGGGCTTCTTGGTGGGCCAGTGGTGGCAGTACGGCTTCAAGGTGGAAGCACA